AAATACCGTTTTTTTAATTCAAAGTAAGAGTTAATAAATTGCAAAATGAGCTAACTCCAGTCTATTAGGAAATAATTATTCAATTTAAAAATCTTAAGCTAACCCTTTACCCACTGCAGCATCAAACATTTGAGATCCATTTATTATTCACTTATTTTAATCTGGATTAAATGAGAATCTAAGCTTACCAATTAGTTTTCTTTTGAACGGAGAGAGTTGAATAGTACCGTCACAAATTACAACAATGAGTGACATTATAATAGTATTATTATTTATTAGTCGTCGAATTAGGTACAATGATTCAATTCAACTACAATGATACCAATTAAAGTAATTGTGTATTTATAAGTAATAAGTTATTTATTTATAGCCAATACAATAACCAGGTTTTTGTTCATCTCCACGATGGTATTAAGATATTTTAAACATGTTTATTAGATAATTAAGTTGTTTTTTTTTATCGTCTACAGATGTTTGGCTATTTTTATAATTATTACGAAATGTAACATTTTTACAGTCACTACGAAAAACACTTTCAATATAAACCATTCCAATAAATAAAGTTATAACAACAATTTCTTTGCTCCCAAACCATTTGTTTTGGAAATAATTTAAAACGCACACTAAAAACAATACGTATTTAAGCCATAAAACTTATACGATCGCCTAGATTGTTTCCAAATCTAATAATATATTTTATTTCCAACGCATAATATTTATTATCATTTATCTTAAATGAAAATCCCGAATGATCAAGACCATAGTTGGCCATGTTTAATAAATGTTTGTTTGAAATAAATAAAACGAAAAGCATTTCATTACAGCGTTCTTTTTCTGTATGTAATGAAATATTGTACGACATTAATATTATCGAGTTTCCAAATACAACAACTCGTCGCGTTTATTAAAATGATAAAATATCGACAAGACCAGTTAATAACGACAAAACCACCTAATCCATTGCAACAACTAATGCAATAATAATAATAATATCATGTGCTTGTATACCTATATTGCAGAGATGTACTTATATTATTTAGATACCAAAATAATAATTACTCTACCTATAGTCTATTCTGTATCCACTACCTATTATTTATTATTAATTTTAATTACTGTATAAGTCTGCTATAGTGCTATACTAAATATTAATCGTTAGAAAGGTATAAACTCACTGCTTGTATAGTCCTGCAATAGGTATATGCAGCTCTTTACATTGTAAATGTATTACAATTTTCCAACGGTAGTAAAGCTCACCCTATTAAACTGTTCGACAATGATGTGTTCGAATTATATTACTTGAAATTTAAGACTCTGCAGTAGCAACTGTTACGTATATAAATCCATTAAATGTCCAAGAGTAATATATTGTCTTCTGTGCGTTACTGCAGCTTAACAAATCACTCTAACAATATTTGCGCTAAAAAAAAAACGAGTTCTAATTTGGAAAATATAAAACACACAAGACAGTATAACATTAACAATAAAAAACGAGTGTTCGTTGCAACTGCATTAATATACAATAAACCACCGAGTTTCAACTTAAAAATTCATAATATTATAATATAGATATTATGACTGAAAATCACGAGTTTATATAAATTATGTTACAGAATTGTTTACGATGGTTGTCAATCGTATAAAACTAATAATAAAAAACAAAGATAACGTAATTACTATGAAAAAAAAATAATATAAATTGTAATATTTAGTATTAACGTCGTGCAAGTTGGAAAACTGCGTTTTATGAGTAAAAATACGAGTTAGTAATCAATGGCAGTAACGGTAATTTATTATTATTTTAACGTATATAATATAATATTCCTACTGTATACTATATATATACTTTTTACTATATACCTTATAATATATATACTTTATACTAAACACTATATGTGTATTATGTATATATAGGAGTGGTACATAGGCATAAGTCATATCCGATGTTGTTTACCCACCTATTTAGTATGATAAGTTATATTATCTTCTCGACGTTTAAACACTCTTGAGCCACGATATGATTTGTAAACGAAGAACAAGAATGTAATCGTTGTTTTCCGTGATTGAATTTATAAACATACTTGTGAGATACGAAAACTTTATTGGTGAATAATATCATCATGATAAAAGTAGGCATGTGTAATTTATTTTATTCGTGGTTAGTATAATGTCAAATAAAATGCACGTATCTTGTATATTTTATGTACAGATTATTACGTAATCTTGGTGTTTTAAGTTATTATATTATATAGTTTCGTGCATAAAACAGACGATAAGATAATAATTATATATTTCCTCAAATTGAGACACACACACACACTGCTATTGGAACTTTGTCTCGGGACTTTCAGACAGATGCGTAACAATACTATATAGACTAGGATATGCATATTAGTCTAGGGCTCGTAGTTTAATGCACTTAAAAAGTACTAAATATTCATGGGCTTATGTGCTTAAAAAAGTACAAATATGCTTTAAAAATATGCACTTATTTTATTTTTTACTCAGAAATTTCATAAATATACAAATATTTTACCAAGAATATTTTTATACTTCATAATTATTACAAAATATTTATTTAAAAAAATTGTAAATTGTATGTAACAAAGGATTTAAAAAAAATAATAGGTAATGTATAAAACTAGTGAAAACTCTTAAAATAAATATAGGTTCATTATAATGCACCTATTTATTATTTTTATTTCCATATTTTCAAATAATTGTTCTATACATTTATCATTAATCATCAAATAGGCTCTTAAAACTCCGAAATTACTAAATATGCAAAAATATGCACTATAAACTTATAATATTTTTTTCTTAGTGTCGTGAAAATAATTTTTAGCTCACATAGAAATAAATCTAAAAGCCCCCCCCCCAAAAAAAAAAACATGCAAATTCAACAATTTCTAATCTCTACATATTATCTATAGGTAGTCTATAGATACCTACCTATACCTAACAACTGCATACGGCACATTTTCATTGAACAGATAGTCTTCGTCATCATAGACATAAGTCATAGCCGATGCTGTTTACCTGCCTACCTATTTAATATAGTAAGTCATATTATCTCGACTTTTAACCACTCTATTTACTATTTAGTATCTATAATTACAATACTATGATTCATAAGCGAAGAACAAGAAAGTAATTATCATTGTTTTTAGTGATTGAATTTATTTATATGCATACTAGTACAATCCGAAAACTTTTATAAGTTAATATTATTATGAAGACAAAAATTGGTATAATAATATTATTATGACGTAATTTATTTTATCATGATTAGTATAATGTAAAAAAATATTAATTTCTTTTATTTACAATCTGTTATCTAAAACAAAACTCAAATTTGGTACACGGTGAAAAGGTCCGCATGAATAACTTGCGGAGGAAGCCGTTCACTAACGGCACCTCAGACAAATACTATCTTGTAAAATAATAATGATACGCGGGTACCTTTATGTCTTATAATAATATAATATACAGGTTATTACGTAGGCCTGGTGTTCTTCCATTACATAGTTTGGCAGATAAAACAACTTAAACGATAAGATAATAATAATTATACATTTCTTCAAAATGAGGCACACACACACACACACGCTGACACTGCCATTAGAACTTTGTCCCGGGACTTTCAGATTCGTAATATTATGGTATGCGTATTACCTACCTACCTACCTACCTACCAAGTACAACGGTACATTTTCAATGAACAGATTCTCTGCGTATTCTCCTCGCCTCGGGTGTGATATTACGACTAATATTATACGACATATTATTATTATTATTATAATATTACGGTACCCTACTCGCTCTCATTGTCTCGTGCCGTGCTGCAACTATACTATGTCTTTGGCGAGGATAGGGACCGAGTATAATAACAGCGTGCTTTCAGAAATCTTATTATGCCGGTCGTTCTAATTAACTCGATCCGTAAACAAAAGTCCAAAGTTCCCTAAACGCCCGTAAGATAATCCGTGTCTTGTCTTCGTATAGTTCGTACACCGCCGCTGTTGTAGTACTATAACAGTAAGTTATAACTTCCCGTGTTTCCGAGCGCAGTCGTTGCGTGAACTTACACGATATGAAGTTAAAACTACCTGCCTACTATAATAATAATATGCCTCTAATTAAGACGCGATGTGGTCGACAACGGGGTTATAATATTATGAGCACTGAAAATATCGGCACGGTCGTTGCACTCCTCCCGAATTTATTATTTTGTGTAAATTTCAACCTGTAGGAGAAGAGAAAATTATTATAAAATGAATGATGTCTCATAATGATATGTTTTCTAACTTTATATAATCGTTTCTTCTACAACTGTATTGTTTTTGAAAAACTATCTATAGGTGTTCTGTAGTCCAGTATATCTTGACATTTTTTACGAATCAAATCTATACAAATATAACATATTATCCACCTATAATGTGTTGTAAGGGTGTCTTGGTTTTTTTTTTATCGGCAGAAACAAAGAAACAATTTTACAATGGCTTATATTATGCTAATCAATAGTTCAATACAGAAAAAGTTATGATTTAAATCTCCGACAAAAGTATATCGAAACTCGATTTCCTTAGTGACCTATCTAGTTTTATTATTTTATTTGTTCAAATTGGGTACAATTGCATGTTTCGAGGAGGATAAAACAAGCCCTGGGGATATGAAAATAAAAAATTATTCTCAAGAGGTAATTCAATATGTTGAAAAAGAAAAATTGTTTTCTGTTTTCATACCTTCGGGCTGTTTTCAATGTAGAAAATATAAATAATAAAACCACGTTCGAATACTTTTTTTTCCTTATGTCAACAGTCTTAAACTAATACATTTGGCTCGGTATTTAATTTAACTTTTTACTATTGTGATTTTAATTTTAATTTTGTAATTTTGTAAATGCTTATATTATATTCTATAATTGACATCGTGAAATAATAGTATGTACTGTTTATCTGTTTACAGTGCGAAATGGTTACTCGTGTGTACCTGTAGCTATGGCAGAAGGTTTGGATATTAAGTTAAATACTGCTGTCAAACAAATCACTTATGGCCCAAACGGAGTGGAAGTTTCAACTTCTAATCCTCGATCAAATGCAAGCGGAGTTTCATACAAAGGTAATGAATACTTACAATTATACATTTTCTAACTCGTAACAGTTTCTGTCAACAATACTTGAATATTTTAAATTTCATAATTTATGTAATGTAAGTATAGGTATACCTACTTGAATATTTAATAACTGAAATGTTGACAATATCAACAACATGGGTATTATTATTATTATTATTTACATCGAGTAAAGAAAACAACGTTATAAATTTAAGCGAATAACGATCGTTTGCCAACCGTTAGATATCTACCAATTACTTTAAATCCCATTTTTTGACGTTTGCGATGCGCCCACAACCTTGTTTAATACACATAATATATTATTAAATCGTGAAACCAAATCCCAAATAAATATAACGCTCTAAAAACACGGTCGGGGTCGTTGATTGATATTTTGATACGGTTTCGGTATTATTATTCGATTTGTGTTTGAATTTTAAATTAAAATCGGATGTGTTACAAAAGAAAAAAACCATCAGATTTTCAGTGCAATATGTTGTATTAATTTGTTTTCGGATGAGCTAGGGGAAAAAATTTAAATCATCAAATTATCAACCCTTGTGTGTACACAAGTTTGTTTCAATCCTGCGTGGTCAAATACGTCTCGTCAGCTTTTATTGTCTGAAATTCATTTTATTTCCGATTAGTATTTTTTTGTTCAATCGAATTCTCATTGTGCACATTAAACATTCATTAATCATCCATGCGATGGCGTAAAGCGCCTCACAAAGCACCTCCGTCAAATTCTGTACCTACTACCCCATGTCCGTGTATGCTAGGAGGTTTACAAGGGGTGGGTCGTAAGTCAACGCGTGTTTAATAGAAACAATTAAGTTATAAATTATAATATTATTGCGTCATAATATTTTATTTTATTTTGTAGCTAATAACATTACTTATTTTTCGTTCCCAATATGCTATAGTTGCCTTTTACTGGCATTCAAATTTGAAATATTAAATTATTAAAATTATATTGTTAGGTATTATTTGTTGACTGATATTGCAAAAGTATTGAAAAGTATGATGCATACCGATTTTTAAATTATCAATAGTTATAAGTATTGTAATCCTTATACATATTAACTGCATACTTATTTAAGCAGCAAATTACTCTGTAGTAATTACATAATTATATTACATACTGAATATATTTTACCTTATAATAATAATATTATATTATTATTATGAAGTATGGTTTGTTGTCCAAGTTAGAGATTTATTAATTAATATAATATCTTAAATATAAAAACGACACCGCGGGGAAGAGCTGTTTCTGTATATATTGTTTTTCAACTCGTTAATATAGTTGATCGGTTCTTATTGTTATATTACAGCCTCTGTATTTATTTTATATAGTGTTTATGTCTTCCATTATTTCGCAATAACCTAGATTTTACAGTTGTCCATAAACTTATTTGAAGTTTTGAACGCAGTATCAATAGACAAAAAGTACCTTCAATAGCAATGAACTGCATACAATGCATAAGTTATAGGCACTATCCTGTATTATTAACGTCTGTATTTTATAAATTGTTGGAGAAAATTGAAAACTAAATATTTTAGGTGGGTAAAAAGTGTGGAATAAATATATAATGCCTATTACAAAGAGCAAAAAGCTTAAAAGTAATAATTAAGTACCTAATACTATATTTCGAATTCTGTGATAAAATTTCTCAAAATGTTCAAGTGTTACATAATTCAAACATTTTATTTTTAATATTTAGATTGGTTAAATTGTACTTTGAGAGTCCTTTTCTCAACTCTATTCTCTGGTTTTGTTACCAAGTCTTTGAAAGTGGTTTTCCTAATACCTTCTATAACCTTCATTGAAAATTTGATTCTCGGTTCTCCCTTATCAGTCTTAAAATATATATTCTCTTCAACTATTACAGTTCCATATCTTAGCCTAAGAATTATCGTCATGACCGATTTCAATAAATTAGTGTTTGTGTTTTTTAAATATAAATGAAATAGTGTTTTTAAGACGCGAGAGACCTGCATGTTTTTTAAGTTAAGAAGTTAGAACGAGATGATGTTTGCTGAGAAAAATCAAAATGTCATCATGATTGCCTCATTTAATAGGTTTTGTTATTATGGTCATTTTAAGATAATTGACATAGTTTTACTTTCTTTATATTTATGGTGGCCTATCCAAAGTATATAAATATTACAATATTCCCACTATCAAGGCCAATCTTGTGAATTTTCAGTGAATTAAAATTTTTAATTAAAATAACTTTTGAGAAAGGTGCAATAATAAGCACACGTTTTAGAGTTAATAATTGTTCAGAGAGATACCAACTTTCAAAACTCTTAGCAACAAAACTGTATTTTGTTCCCCCTCAAAAGCTGGTAAAACTAAGATTGACCATCATGGTTCTCAGGCTACGCTATGTATCGTTTCATAATATAATATATCTTATACACCTTTTTTTATTCATGTATGTATGACGTATATACTCCATGCTAACAAATGAAATAACATGTGATGCATCAATTGTTAAATATTATAATTATTTTTCCCGTACTTTCTCTGTGTAGGAAATATTCAGCTCTCATTTCTAGCACGGTGTTTCTAATAATTTGATTTCGGACAATTTTTTACGGTCCATGCTTCAGCTCCACGCCTTTACAAAACTTTGAATACGTATTCAAACTTAGTTCTATAAAATAAAATAATTTATATTAATTATATAAGATATTATAATTAAAAGTTTCTTAACGTCGTATTTAATGCTCAAAAACAAACATTTTACCTTAAAACAATTTGGTCGTTAATACTTTAAAAACCAAAACACGGTAATACAATTATGATAGAAGGATAAGAAAACTAACCCACGACTGCAGTGTTGTACCTGATTTGCCTATTTATAATGCCGTGTGATAAAATGTTTTATTTTATTTTTGTTAATATACATTTTTTTGTTGCATAAGACAATACAAAAATATTTATCAATAAATTATTACAATTTTATAACTATTTTTGCCGGTTATATTGAGATTGGGATGGCTCAATAATATATAATTTATTCTAATAATAATTACACATTTCTAAGCAAAAATATAATATCAACCAAACACAAAATAGCAGTAAAACAATATATTTTGTTCGTAATATTATTTGTATATTGCAATAAATTTAACGAAATTAAGACTCACATCTTTATCTATACTGCATATTAAACGAATGTGTAGGACTTATAATATAGACTTGGAAATTACTGAAATACTGAACTAATTAGCATGGAATTTTGCACACATATTTCTCGAGGCTCAGGGAGTATTGCTTTGTTTTCAACCCCTATTGGTTAATATAGGGTTAACCACGTTTGAAAATATACCAAGTATATTCGGCTGCCTATCTTGATTTATTTACGATACTGATTTTCCCCTAAACTGAGATACCCGGATATAGCACCGTATTTTAGGTTTGTTTATTTTTTCCCGTTCAAAGTTTGTGGTTATACAGCTAATACTTATAGTATAATATAATTATTATTATGTTTATATTGTATAAATATATTTATATGCAATTAAATTATTACTTGATTTACGCATACCATACAACTTGTATATACGCTCGTTTACAGTTTAAATGTGCTCTTCGGAAAATTGAGTGTTCTCGACGTCTGTTAAATTTTTGTTTTACCTTCGTTACGTATATTATCTTATTACAATTTATATATAAGAGTATAGTAAAACATATTATTATTCTAATATCGTGTACGTTTAATATTACCTATATTTACAGCCGACGTCGTGCTCTGCACACTGCCTTTGGGAGTACTGAAGCAATCCACCAACCCGAAGACTCAGTCGCTGCCAAACACTGTGCAATTCTCGCCACCGTTGCCCGACTGGAAGGTGGCCGCCATCGAACGTTTGGGTTTTGGTAACCTCAACAAGGTGGTGCTGTGCTTCGACCGCATTTTCTGGGATCCCAACGGTAACCTGTTTGGTCACATCGGCAGCACTACAGCCAGTCGCGGCGAACTGTTCCTGTTCTGGAACCTTTACCGCGCGCCCGTGCTCTTGGCCTTGGTCGCCGGCGAGGCGGCCAGCGTCATGGAAGACGTATCGGACGAAGTTATTATTTCCAGGTGCATGTTGGTGTTGAGAGGGATATTCGGGACAGCAAACGTTCCAGACGTAAGTAAACGATTGGAAAGAGAATATTTATAATGATAGCAGTGCGTAGTAGGTACTTATACCTATATTAGTAATGAGGGGTCCAAGGTGGAAGCCAAGAGCCTTTAGCCACTGCCCCCTACTTAGGAAATGTTTTATATTCTATCTCGCTTATAAAATATAATTTTAATTTTAAATTATAATCAAATATGTTATTTCATGCGAATGCTTTAATTTAATTTACTTTTATTTTATCAGTGACGTATAAACCTACTGCATTACAATAATTTACAACTCTGCCTATACAATATGAAGGTGCCTATAATTTTGTGCCTACTACGCTGTTGGGCTACACATTAAAGTATTATTTATATTATTATTATTTTAACATCGTCGTGTGATCTATTTTCAGCCGAAGGAAACTGTCGTTTCTCGTTGGAGAGCCGATCCATGGGCACGTGGATCTTACTCGTTCGTGGCAGTCGGTGCCTCTGGCTCCGATTACGACTTGCTAGCTGCTCCCGTTTCGTGTTCCAGAAGCACGGAACCTAATACGACTTCGAACCCGACGGACGGAAGCGAACGACTTTATTTTGCTGGTGAGATAATTTCCAAATCTAATTATATTGTCGTCGTAATAAACAGGGTGATTCACAGAGCACAACCCCCCTTCATCTTCAATAATGATATTTTATTCAAAATCTGATTTTTGGAAATTTTATATATTTGTTTATTTAATGGGTGAAGCCCTTTTTTACATAATCACATAATATGTATTGATAGTAAATTATAAAGGTAAAATTAAGTACATGCATAATTATCTATATATTAAATATATATTATAAATTTAATATTTGAAACTACTTGTTCGAATTTTAAATTATAGGTAAATACATAAAAATTTTCAAAAAATGTACCCACTGAATAATTTAGTGTTTAAAAGGGTGGTTCTCGTTTGAAAAATAGAAGTTTGTAATTGTACCTATAATACCGCAGGATACTCCTTGAGTAAAACAAAAATACTCAAAATTGAAAACAAAAATTATTGTCTCTAAGTATGTTTAAAAATTCCAAAAATCAGAATTTGAATAAATTCTTTATCAAAGGAAACAGTGGGGTTAGTTAATAGCGTTGGCATGCTTGGTGAATCATCCTGTATACGCGAGTTATTGTCTTTTAACCATCGTCACGTTGTTGTTTACGACTGTAAGAGCTCAAAAGGAACTCATTTTTAAAAATATAAAATAACGTCTAGACCCAAAAATCGAGTTTAAAAAATAAAAGAGACTGGGTCCAAACAACGGCTTATATACATAATAGTATTTGACCGTCTGGTCCCCTGCAATTGATCTTCTGCAGTTGAAAACAGAGACGTAAATCGTACCTATACATATTATTATGATTATATTATATCCGACTCACCTGCCAGTTAGCGTCTTAGGGCCGTTGACACGTCAACCGATTACTCTTCCTTTAAGAAGTTGTCAAGCTGATTTACAACCGTGACGGCGACTTAAGAGAGCGTGAGATGAAGGGGTGTCTTTTTTCGAATAATCAGTCATATTTTCCGAGTAAAAATTAATTTCAATATACCTAATCACCGTTGTGTACATTGTGTACATTGTGTATATAATATATATGTATATTTCAGTATATATAGTAGCGTTGGAAAATCCAAAATGACATGTAGGTATATACGTCTGTGTCGTCTTTTACAACGTATTTAAAAATATTTCGAATGCATTATCGTACACTCGTCGTATAAGGGCAGTACCTATATATATTCAAATTAAGACGTTCAATTATTGTTATTAAATACGACCTGTCAACTATTATACACATTTTGTGTCTGTTTACATTATGTAGGTGAACATACCATACGTAATTATCCTGCAACTGTCCATGGGGCTTTTCTTAGCGGTCTTCGTGAGGGTGGAAAGATCAGCGACAAGTTTTTGGGATGTCCATACGCAGCGCCTGCATCAAAATAATTTCAATTTGGAGCCATTTTTTACGTATTATTTTTTTTTTTTATTATAAACTAGCAATTTATGATTTTTTTTTTTTTGAACACTAATTTTGATGTCATACGTATTGTATTCGACAGTCAAAAGAATAATACTTCATTTTTTAAATTCTAATAATTTTAGCACTACAATTTTATTTTATTACTTAGCAATAAGTTAATGCATATGCAAAGGTCTTTAAATTGTATTTAAATATTTCTAACAAATAATTTTATTACTAATCATAATATTAATAATTATTCCATTCCGTTCAAATTCAATTTATATTTATTTATTTATATATTTTTGAAGAAGAGCTTTTTATAACCAATTAATAAAACATTGTATATGTATTTTATTCAATATTTAATCATTTTATCAAGCACCAATCATATTTTTTTGTAAGAATTATGTTTTAATTTTTTTAACGTTTAACGTTTCACTTAATTAAATATGTTAAATTCTGTTTGAGATGGAGACTATTAAAGACGATTTGCCATAATATTGCCATAATACAATATTATTGTATAGAATGTAAGTTTATAATTATAAATTTTTTTTTTTCATAATTAATTGTCATACTCATACATACACGTATTACTAAATTATATGCACTTATAGCAGCACTTTATTATTTAAATATTAGTTACACTTTCTGTCATTTTTTTTTTTCAAACATTTCTTTGTAATTTTTTAAACAAATAAAGCATACTGCCTTATCTTAATAATGAACGAGTTGTACAATTTAAACAGTCTGCAAACAGAGCTACCTATTGATTTTTTACGTATCTCGGTGAATTTCACATCGCAAACATATAGATGGCGCTATATGATGACAGAGGGAGAAAAAGAAAGAATAACTTCTGAATATCAGCTGCTCTTTTCCTCGTGATTAATGTTGTCGGATTGACTTTGTCGGACATTGATGAATAAAAAAGATCGACTAGCTACAAAATAATTATGTAAAAATATATTTAAAAATATCATCTATATCGAATCACACACATATATATATATATATATATATATATATTATTAATATATTAGTTTATTTCAAGCATCACAAATTCACAGCCCATCGTTGACCAGCTCCGGGGTGAGTAAATCGAGACAAAAAGTAGCTTGTTACAAGTCCAGCTGATTTTAGTTTCCTCTCGTTTGTGTTAAAAATTAATAAACGGAAAAACAAAACAGAAGACGAAAGAATAATTATTGTCTGAAGTTGAGTTTTTATAATATATCAACAACACTAATTTAGCTGGTTGGTACTAGGAAATAATTGACACTGTCAAATGCTCTCACACAATATAATATTATGACATAAGTATTATTATTACATATTATAAGACCAATAATATTGTTCATCCAATGAAAATATTTATTTTTATTATAGACATAATATGTAGCCATGTAGGGTAATATGTCATTGGGATAAGATATTTTTTGATATGTACTATAGGTACCATATTTTTTTCATAAAACTCGTTCACATATAGAATATGTATATAATTTATATTTATATATACATGTTTTCATTAATGAGTATGGCCGTATGGGTTATAAATAAGCCGTGAAAACAACGTTTTTAATTATTGCCTTTTATTAAATGTGTTGAAAATATTGTATTTTTAAAAGTTTATTGAGTAACAGTTATGTAATCAAATCGAAATCATAATATAAAACTCAAAGGTTTATGTTTCAATAACTAGTTATTATATAGAATTGTGAAACTAAAAGTTTTTTTTAAAAGAAAAAAACACTGCAGAAGCAATGAGGTACCTACTCAACATTCTGTTAGAAAGTTTTACATTGAATAGCGTGAACCGTATTTTTTTACTAAGTCTTAGAAGGGATGAAAAAAAAATATAAACAAGAATTTCGATAAATTCTCAACTCCAAGATATTTAAATGGATGTTTAATTAATTAATTAATTCAAAAACGTAAATTAAAACAAATTGTTAAGGTACCTACCTATAGTATTAGTTTTGCTCCACGTTTTTGTTTTCTAACTATAATTCTTAGTACAAGTTATACAAATTCCTCGTTACACGTTTTATTTTTTTTTACAAACATTAGTTAAATAAACCATGCTATTATGTACAACTTAGCAAGAACGATAAGTATTCACATTTACGCTATCACAGATTGCAAAAATGGTAACTTAAATATTACAGCTGGTAACAGATTACTGAACATTTTTTGAAAAATCTTTTACCTTTAAGTCGCACGGTGTGCAATCTCCGGCATATGCGTTTGGTGACAGTGGTGTATAATATATGCATAAATAGTATTTGATGTTATTAAGATTAAACATTCAATTTAAACTATTAAAAAAAAAATGTATGTTTAGAGGAAAGTTATTGCCATTCGGGAACCCACACTTGTAGTCTGTTTCTGTGAATCTGGCAAAGATTTAATATTTTGTCCGGGCGTAAAAAAATTCTATTTCCACTTCTGGTCACACGGACATTCATCCCAGTGGATTTCACGTTGAATTCTTAAATATATGTATGATATACATTTATCGATCTTGGAATAATTACCTACGAACTATCATAATAATATATTCATCAAATAGTTTCAGTTTGTAGGTAGGTACAAACTGTAATATCAGTATTTTTTGTGTAGTAAAACAAATTGTTGAAAAGGTAGAACAGTTAATTAGAGAATTTTTTTAAAAAGAAAACCAAACGTCTATAACGTGAACAGTAATGTGAATAATGTTATAGCTAAAAAATAGGTACCTTGTATTAAACGAACGCCGAAGAGCATTTGACGTGATATTTTAATGATCGCAAGTGGCAAAAAACTCCTCTAATAAAACCATATTATGTGGCATATAGGGTTAGGAATAAGTGTGTGTGTGCGTGTCCTTGTGAGTCTGATTTCATTACGATCACGTTCGTGGATAATAATCTATCGTGTGATAGTCTCAAAGTGATTTATAATATTAATATCTATATGTTTCTGACGAGTATAAATTGTTATTGTATATAATATAAAGCCAAGTTGGTGGAAATACAACGACACCACTAATGAAACTTACCTACTTGACTATACACGTTGCGATAACTTTGATAGTAGTGAAGGTTGACATGAGATAAAAAAAAACCTTAGAATATTATAGTATATAAAATACAGTGATATTTTAATGTTAAAAATTAGTTTTGTTGTATAATTTTAGTATATGGGGTGTCGCCAATCGGTGACTTCCCCCTTCCCGCTAATCATCCCCATCCCATTTACTTATTGTAATATATATTGTAATAACAGTATGTAATATATATTGTAATAACAGTATGTAAATCAAATGTTGTTCAATAAAAAAAAAAAAAAAGGTGGGTAAGTGGATGTCGCTCTGCTGTACAGTAGGTTACAAGTGGGTCACTGTATAATTGATGCTATTAAATTTGAATTCAATGATACAATATCATTGTATAAGAAAAACGATTCTGAGCGAAGACGGTATGTCAGTCTAGGTTAAGACAAATTATATACATATCTATGGTATTAAAAAAAAATTTACCTATAATAAATTCCAAATTAATCATATCACATTATCACAATATCCATTAGGTACTAATAACACGTTATACACCAACAACAAACCCTGATACTATCATATATATATAATAGTACACTTTAGAAGTTTCAAGTAGGTACCCACGAATAATATTATATAATCACAACAAAATAACTAGGTTTTTTAATATGTAATTTCGTCAAAATTTGAACATAAAATGACTATAAAAATAAACTGTGATTGTATATTTTTTAGATTTTTCGGTAAGAGAATTAACTACTTACGTGAAATCTTGTTTTAAATTTTCAATCCTTAGCTATAAAAACTGAACATTTTATAATTTATTAATTACGATGATTAATAATTTTCGAGATTTTGAAAAATTCTGTCAAATTCGATGTTTAAATGCTTATAAAAAAAAATTGTGCCTATGTATTTTAATATTTTTCAACTGATATTGTAACAATATATCAGGAGCCTTGTATTACATTTTTACACTTTTTGGCCCAACAGATAAAACTTAATTAATATTTATAGAAAAAAAAACTAAAAAAATTGAAAACTGAAAATGTCCGTAAACGGCTCAAAAAGAGTCAAAATATTTTCAAAATTGTATGGTGTATAGGAAATGCTAATATAAACATTCAGTGAAATTTTCATGTATCTACAGTAATTCGTTTTTTAATTACAACAAAAAAGGAAATTGCCACATGAGAAATCGAGTGAATATCCAATGTTGTAAAAATTTGAATTTCAAACGCTCATAAAAATTTAATTTGACTTTCCGGTAGAGATTTTTTTATTGATAAAGGTAGACAATCTTATGAGTAATCTTGTATTAGATTTTCAAATCTTAGATTTAAAAAGAAAATTTTTACGAATTCTTAACTCAAAATAATTTGCTAATTTTCGTGATTTTTCCATATTTTGTCAATTTTTGAACTTTAAATGCTTATAAAAAAAATTGTGACTAAGGATTTTTAATATTTTTCATCTGCCCTTGAAACAATATATTAGGAGCCTTCTATTAAATTTTCAAGCTTTCGCAACCAACAAATAAAATTTTATTGATATTTCTAGAAAAAAAACTAAAAAAAAACTAAAAATGAAAATGTCCCTAAACTGTTCAAAATAAATCAAAATATTTTGAAAATGTTATCGTGTATAGAAGATGCAAATATAAACAACCAGTGAAAATTGCATGTACCTACGGTCATTTGTTTTAAAGTTACACCAAAAACCAAATTCAATTTTCTGAAAAATCGATTTTGCGTAAAAATTCCCGTTTTTCCTTAATTTTTCTTTTGTTTTTCCCGGCGCTCTTGAAAACTACTGGGAAATTTAAATTTGACCTCCCCAATGCACCAACGATATTCACTTTCCAATCGAACAAGATACTGAAGTCGAAAATCGAAGCATTATTTCGACTACTTATCGTGTACACAGACACAAAAAAAATAA